TATTTTCACATGTTTAAATTCCAAAATAGCTTTGGCAGACGCTTGTAACCTTCTGGGTTAAGTGGCCTCTATTCATTTGCTGTGTCTGAGGATGTGACACTGGCCTAATACCAGCAAATCACTGGTCCCTGTGCAGACTGCTATAAATAGGTAGCCTACCTTTTTGTACTAACTCCCAGCCTCGTCAGTGAGCCTGATACCAGATAGTAACCATAGGTCACGTCTGTTTTTTTTTAGGATTATGTATCTTCTTAATTAGACAATCTAAACTAGTATTTGCTGTATGTTCATATGTTCACTGCACCTCAATAGTGACGATAGAAGTGTTGAACTTTGGGGTCTTTCCAATGAAATTGTCATCAAATTATTATGTACATTGGACTTCTTATTGGATTTGGTGAGTTTCTTGATAGCCCTGTTGATCAGCCTAAATATAGCCTACATATACTGGACTAGTTTTAGGGAATAGGTAAAAGTGTCACACACATGTGGAAACCCCCCTCTGCTCAGTGTGCTCCAGTATTGACAGCAGTTTTTCCAATATCAATATAGTCTTGTTACTGCCACACCCATTAGGATTTTTGAAGCATTACTGAAGGCTCACTGGATAAACCTATACTCTTCTATACAGTATCATGTAACTATGAAACCAGAGCATATTGTGACAGTGCCATAAGTAGCTCATTCCTGTTCGATCCTGTTCCTTCCTGGAAGCCCTGTAGGACATCATGTCGGACAAAAGCGACTTAAAAGCGGAGCTGGAGCGCAAGAAGCAGCGCCTCGCCCAAATCAGGGAGGAAAAAAAGAGAAAGGAGGAGGAGAGGAAGAAGAAAGAGGTAAGGAAAAAAGTGAGTAAGAACACTGGCACTCTGGCATACTGTATTGCACTCTTGTGTGTGTATTGTTTGTGTGTTCGATTGCTTTTCGTCAGGCCGTGACACATAAAAAGGATGAGGTAGTGTGTGTCCATACATGCATACAAACATCTGTGTGTGTGCAGAAGGTTGGTGTTGGAATTTTTGATCAAAATGTGCTTACATGTGCATGTTTTAACTTGTTCTCTAACTCGTGATGGGTCAGCTGACATTCCTCTTTGTATTCTGAGCAGTCAGAGAGTCAGCAGAAGAGAGAGATGACCCCAGAGGACTCAGACTTAGACCGTAAGCGCAGGGAGACCGAGGCCCTGCTACAGAGTATCGGCATCTCACCGGAGCCTCCTCTGGGTACATAATACTCTTCTACCCTAAACAATAAATGAATCTTTAAAGGTTTTTTCCATGTTCTCTTGTGATTATCCTGCAAACGTTTTAGTAATCTGTTACAACTAAGATGCACACACTACACGCTTTTTTTTTTTAAAGTTATTTTTATGGCCTTTTATGGGCTTTATTGGATAGTGACAGCTGTAGATTGACAGGAAAGGGGGGTAAAGAGAGAGAGAGGGGATGACACACAGCAAAGGGCCGCAGGTCGGATTAGAACCC